AGGGTCCGAAGAAATGAATCTTAGTCACTCCTTTTTTCTCTCCCTGAGTTTGTCCGGTATGTGTTAAAACTAATGTTATTCCGATACAATTTTTTTGGCCCTCGATACCGATTCCAATACGCAACTTCGCCGATATCGATACCGCACCATTTCTACCATTTGAAAAAACTAAATCAAAGAACATTTTCTTGTTGTAATTCTGAAAAACTGCATACTCACTTGGATGTAAAATCATTCATAGTTAAATCATCACTTTTGAAAGGGTAACATAGTGACTTGGGTCTCTGACCCACGATGCCCTCAAAGTTGCTGTCAAAATGCATTACTTCTACGATGAGTTATTTATAATTTGTGGACTGGAGGCATGCAGAGTCATTTGAGACCCCTGGCGACAATTTCAAGACTTCCAAGTGAAGGCACTTTTATTTACAAACAAAAAATGTCGGATGTTATGATAGCACTCTTCTTGGAACAAGCTGGCATCATTTGACCGGTCTGATTTTGAAAGTTCGGTCATCCGGGAGGGGCTCAGAGCCGCTTCTCTTCCACATCGAGAGGAGCCAGATCACCATGTCAAGGACTATCGGCACACCTTTTGCATGCAGCATTCACTGTAAAGGGAATGACGGGAGCGATGGGTAGTGAAACAAATCAGCTGTGTTCACACCCACAATGGCACAAAACTCGCTGTTTTCCTCTTTTTTTTCTTTTTTTTTGTTCCCTATTGCTTTGGCCACTGGGTGCTACAAGTGACATCCCATGCGAATTTAAATGTCTTTGTGGCTTTTGATTTGGATGACGAACTCCAAAGACTGCAGGTTTACCAAAGTATAAATGCTTTCTTCCTGTCTCAACCCCCTCTGCACGCTAATTGATAGAAATGAGATAATGACACCTTTTCCTGTCGCTAAATTACTTCCTAATCCTCCCGGGAATACAAACACCCTGTGGGCTATTCCTGGTTGTCATGAGAATGAGGGGGAGGGGGGTGGGGGGGTGGCTTAGAGGGACGGACTCCTTCCTCCAGAGGTGAGGAAAGAAAGAGGATTGAGGAGACGCATGCGATGCAAGAAAGTCACACTGACCCCAACAGACTCTAGTCGGGCGGAAATTATTAAAAGTGTCTAACCTGTGGTGTTAAAGGTCAAAAGCTCAGGAAGTATTTGTCCAGTAATAACAATGTTATAGGCGGGAAGTTCTTCCCGGTTCTGCAAGAACCTTGCAAAAAAAAAAAACTGACCGCTTTCCAGAATGCAGTAAAAAGCTGTTCATGGCCACTTGACAGTGAGGGTCCGAAGAAATGAATCTTAGTCACTCCTTTTTTCTCTCCCTGAGTTTGTCCGGTATGTGTGAAAACTAATGTTATTCCGATACAATTTTTTTGGCCCCCGATACCGATTCCAATATGCAACTTCGCCGATGTCGATACCGCACCATTTCTACCATTTGAAAAAACTAAATCAAAGAACATTTTCTTGTTGTAATCCTAAAAAACTGCATACTCACTTGGATGTAAAATCATTCATAGTTAAATCATCACTTTTGAAAGGGTAACATAGTGACTTGGGTCTCTGACCCATGATGCCCTCAAAGTTGCTGTCAAAATGCATTACTTCTGAGTTATTTATAATTTGTGGACTGGAGGCATGCAGAGTGATTTGAGACCCCTGGCGACAATTTCAAGTGAAGGCACTTTTATTTACAAACAAAAAATGTAGGACGTTATGATAGCACTCTTCTTGAAACAAGCTGGCATCATTTGACCGGTTTGATTTTGAAAGTTCGGTCATCCGGGAGGGGCTCAGAGTCGCTTCTCTTCCACATCAAGAGGAGCCAGATGAGGTGGCTCGGGCATCTGATTAGAATGCCTCCTAAACACCTCCCTGGTGAGGTGTTCCGGGCACGTCCCACCGGCAGGAGGCCCCGGGGACGACCCCAGAAACCGGGGCCCCGGGGACGACCCAGGACATGCTGGAGAGACTATGTCACCCAGCTGGCCTGGGAACGCCTCGTCATCCCCCCAGGAAGAGCTCGAAGAAGTGGCTGGGGAGAGGGAAGTCCGGGCTTCCCTGCTAAAGCTGCTGAGCCCGCGACCCAACCCCAGATAAGCGGTCGAAAATGGATGGATGGATGGATTTTGAAAGTTTATCTGAGGAGTCGCCGTACCCTCTGATCAACTTCACTTTTTCTACCAGATGGACTTTCAGCCACTGCTTCCAGTGTGATGTAATGGGCAGAAGTCCTAATAGGGACCTTTTTTCACCAAACTAGACATACTGGAAGTAGACCGATGACCTCACACTGGATAAGGCTTCCTTCGTATTTTACATCCACCTGTGGGCTCTTAAATATGCTGGCAATCAATTGCCGCTAGGCTGCCAAAGTGAATAACGTGAGATGCAAGTCTTTCATCGCCACACCAAATTCAGCCGCGGTCTGGTAAATGCATGGCTTGCACATGCAACACAACTCATAGTCAATACAGTAAGAATGTTAACCAACAGGCACACAACAAACAACTCAAACATTATGGAACATAACAGTCGTAAAGTGAAAAGATTTAGATCTTCAACAGTGAAATGTTATGGGATGAAGTAATTTCAGCCTAATGTCTGGGGGAGTGATGTCACATTTGTGCCATGTCACGTTTTCAGGACGGTGACGTCTCACGTGGCCGAAAGGTTCATATGTCTGCAGTTAACTGCTTTTGGACAAGTCATACAAAAAAAAAATAAAATAAAAAAATCAACTGGCAAGTTGTTTCCTCTATATCCCTCAGTACGGTCGTCACAGTCCCTTCAACAGGAAGACGACGTGACTGCTCTCCTGAAATCATGGCACGGAACTAAGGGAAATCCTGTGCGATATGTATCGCGGATCAAGACTATACACGCCCACTGCGTCCTGACTGGAAGCAAACAATGAGCTCGGCTTGGCAACAACAGAGTCAACAGCCCTTGAAACACAAACACAAGCACGCACATGCATCATCGTTTACAAGCTTATCATGAGACAGATAAATGAGTCACGGCCAAAAGCGAGTTCAGATTAGATGCAAAAAAAAGAGGACAAAGTTATTCACACAGTGCATACAATACATGGACAGCTGGCCATTCCGCCAAACAGGAAGTGAAAAGTGAGCAAAATGTGGAATGTGTGTGAATTCTTGTCCATTAGGGAGGTCAGCATATGTTGCACCTGCGAGGCCTCGCTCGCTTCACTTCAATCGCTGTTCTGCCAAACTTGTCCAAGCTATTTGAAAAGTGTTTCGACTGAGAAATGTAAAACTAAACCGTGACAAATGTCACATGATAAATGATGATGCTATTTTGACACAAAAACTTTCTTTTGAGGATTCGGACAACAAACCTAATTAGGTTCAGAACTGCATAGTGAGAATACTTGATTCTCAGCATTCATATGAAGTAGGGCAGCACAGAAAAGCACCGGGCTTTAGCATCCACATAAAGGCTTTTGGTCAATGTACAAATGTTTGCTTTCGGGTATTTCCAACAACAGCACAATGAATGCAAATGGAAGCGTTCTCCATATTTTTGCTGCACAACAGAAATGTGTGTTATTTTGCAGCATTCACATATTAATTTGTGGAACAAAAGCACCACATGTGCTCAGCATTCAAACAGAGATTTACCCTAAAACAGTATTGCTTCTCAGCAATGATACCTGTTGACTAGAGCCCAACCGATTAATCGGCCATCTGATTTAATCGGCGTCGATGAGCTACTTTAAAATCAGCCAATTTTTTTTTTTTTTTTTGCAGATTGCCCTTTTCTTTGAAAACATTCACATTACTGCACAAGACAAAGAAAATGACATTCAAACAACCCACTCCCAAAAAAATATGCACAAAATTGGCCGATTTTCTTGCTGATTTTTCATGCTGACTGTGATAAAGTTATCCAATTTGTAAAGTTTATACAAATACCGGACAAATAAATGTAAAACAGTCAAATGTTCTGCGTGTAATTCACATCTTTATTGTTGTAAGTGTTAAGTGACTCAAAAAAAACAAATGATTTTATTCATTACATTTTTTTCAGGAGATTAATCAGTTATCGGAATTTTACTCTGCCAAATACCAGAATCGCATTGGCCGAAAACAATCCCCATTGGGTGGGCCCGAATTTTGACATTGAATAGTTGAGTGCTTAATACTCAGCAGACAAACAAGTAAGCCTACTAAATCTCAGCATTGACTCACAGTTTTATGTGCGTAAAACAGTTGCTAGCATGTAAGACATGCACTTCATTGTTTAAAGTCGTTTTTACAGTCACTCATCACACTTCATAACCGAGCCAACTTCCTCCTCGGGTGTTTGCGCACCGCTGCGAATAAATTCTAATAGTGAGCCAATCCCATCGCGCAACAGTGCAAACCTGCGCCAAATCACCTCCGGCTCTCATCCCACAAGCACGCCGCCCCCGTTTAACCTGTACAGTAAAAGCACCGTTGCAGGAAGCCCTCAAAACAGAAGCCAAAAATGCACATTAAAAGTTTCCCAACCTTTATTGAGTGAAGGCACATATTTTACCGTACATTAGGAAAAAAAAAAGTTGAATACTCTACTCATTAATTGTACTCTCTGCCATTTAGCGGAACTGCAGTTCAATGCTCTGCCATAGATTGTTGTCGTTAGATATTTGAACAAACACACATTATCTGGAGTCAATAAATCATTTCGAGACTAACTGACTCAAATTGGATAATTTCTCACAGAACGCCTGATTATCCCTGATGGTGTAATGGTTGGAAATGACTGCATTGAATGATAATGTGCAATCAGACGCAAGCACACCATTCAACAGTCCCTCAAATTGACCTGAAAATCCCCAATTTTCATGCAATAAAGATTTTAATTTGTAATGCTGACAGCCACCTGCACAGACAGACAGACAGACAGACAGACAGATAGATAGATAGATAGATAGATAGATAGATAGATAGATAGATAGATAGATAGATAGATAGATAGATGTACCTTTATAGGAGAGTCTGAGGCGCGGCACATTTGACTTGCTGCTGGATGAGACGCAAGTGGCGAGGAGTGCCAAGAGAACGAAAATGGGAGTAAATCCTGCCATTCTTCCCGATGAAACCTCCTTCTTCAGGCTAGACTGGCTCCTCAATTTTAACCTGCCCTCTACAGCATCAGATTGAATATTCCAAGAATGTAAAGCCGGGAATGCTCCTCTTATCCTGAAGAGTCCACATGAGGAGTGTATGTGTCCCAAATTAAAGGCTGTGGATGCACAGATGCTGGTTTTGAGCGGGTGGTGCGCACGTCTCTGCGGGCGCACTGATGGACTGTCTCACTTGGGTCAGGACTGCTCTGCACTTCCTCACTGCTTCCAACACGTGTGCACCAGAAGAGAGGACAAGTATGTTTGGAGCCAGGAAAGAAGCACCACGCCTCTCTCCCTACCCCCTTTTCGCGCTTCTCTCTCTCTCTCTCTCTCACTCTCTCTCTCTCTCTCTCTCTCTCTCTCTCTCTCCCCCGCTCTGTCTGCACAACTGCAGAGTGTGGACTCCACTCTTGAATGAAAGCAGCATTCCAAATGACCAAAACAGTATGTGTGCTTGTGTTTGTTTGTTGCAAAAACTATTTCAGTGCAAGTCAGTGTAGGGTTGGTGTATGGATAAAAAGAGACAAATGTTGGGGTTTTTCCACTTTTGTTCATGGTGACCATCCATGCATTCATTTTCTACACCGCAGGTGTCGAACTCAAGCCCCGGGGGCCAGATCTGGCCCGCCACGTCATTTTATGTGGTCCGCGGAAACAAATCAAGCATGTCAACGCTTGCGAAAATCTCTTACCGAAATTCAACATTTTCATATGTAATAAATAAGAGACATATGGTAAGCATTTTCTTGTAACCAAACCCGTCATTACAGTAACTAAAACAATAGCCAAATAAACCATTATTATTGACTTTTTTTATTTGGTTTCAGTCATAACGGCCCTCCAAGGGAAACGCTAACTAAAATGTGTCCCACGTCAAAAATGAGTTTGACACCCGTGTTCTACACCATCCTGGTCAGGGTCGCAGGGAGCTGAGTCCATCTGAGTTTGGGCAAAAGGCAGACTGCATTTTCAAAATCAGCCCGCCGAGACTCCGATCCCAGCGGCCATGATGAACAGCGGCCAGTGGCATCGAAAATGGATGAATGGACAGATGAACCCATTAAAAATTTACTGAAGAATAACTACCCTAAAATCAATGACAGCATTGTTTGCCAGTGTCCAAAAGTTATGTAACTGTGCCCCTGAACCTGTAGACCTATATTGAGGAGTTGTTCCATCAGATTACTTTTGAGAAACTTGAAGCTCATGATCTGCAAAGTGGACGTGAACCAAAACAAATCAACAACAGTTAATGTTAGCATAACAAGTCACGAAGAGGTTTCTTTGTCCGACTATGTTATCTGATACCACTTTTACGATTGACATCCACACTCATGGTTCAGTTTTCATCGACGGTGCATGTGCACCTTGATTTTCGTGAATATACCTTTTAATTCCGATTTACAGCAGCACGGCATTGCATTCTATATGCATACAATGAATGCTTATTTGCCCTGAATTGTGCCGATTCTACAACCTAATTAATGGCTCATAATCTCTGCCATATGAGGAAACACCTCAGCAGCACTACAACTTTGACTACTACTATTGCTATAATTTTTGCTGTGCGACCTTCTCCTTCAACATCAAACAGCAAACAGCTAAGGGATTAAATAGGCCCACGTTTGGTCTATCTGAGATGCTCTTGAGCACGTCACCTACAGCAACTCCCCAAATTGCTGACTGGATGTCTAGCCCACTACTTGTGGTATGTCCGCATGTAGGATAGATTCAATGGTCTCCAACGAATCGCAGGGGAAATAAAGACAAACAATTACGAACAATTTAAGGCCTTCGATGGACCTAACGTCTGTTGTTGCAGTGCGAGAGGAAGCCAGAGTCCTTGGAGAAAACCCACGCAAGCACAGGGACAACACACAAAGTCCACACAGTAAGGCCAGAGCTGATACTTGAACCCCAAACCTTCCAACTGCGAGACACACATACAAACCACGTGACCGTTGTGCTACTTTTGTTAAGCATTTCAATTGCAATCCATTTTTCAAAATTCCAATTTGAGACAATGCAGACAAAGGCAACGCTCCCCCCTCTCTCTCTCTCTCTCTCTCTCTCTCTCTCTCTCTCTCTCTCTCTCTCTCTCTCTCTCTCTCTGTCGGACGTGTTCAGTAGTTTAATGAAGTTGTGGGGTACGTCCGCAACACCCCCACTCTCTTCTTCATCTATTCATACTCAAGCCCAAGTGAACACAGGGGTCGTGGCAGGGTGAGGGGGGGTGAGCCATTCAAGGTGACAGTGCTACCACAACCATGAGTCTTGGGAACACTTGTTTTGAAGCTAGAAAGAGGCTGCCCTTCGTTTCATGCTGCTTGGGGAAGGTGGAAGATGAGTTGGGTGTCAAAGCGTGAGTGGGAACGCTGGATGGTACCGAAGACTCATATGTCTCACGGCATTGTGGAAGACTCCCTTGAAAGACCGCCTACTTATACTTCGTAACAGGTTCTCTTCTTCATGGAGGAACGTATGATCCCCAGGTTGATACTTGGGCAACATTTCTGACCGGCTGGCACCAAATACTCCCGTTAGGAAACCCCAAATATACTCCATCTCCGTTTTGATCCCATTGTCTCTCCCAATCTTGTGTCTCAGTGCGATTAAGGAAATGATTGCCGTGAACAAATGGGATCCCAGTGTTTAAAGTGGGAAATCTGGTCTCGTTCCACTGTTATTGTTCTTAAGTTTCAAGTAAACACAGATTGTCTGACTGAGATAAACACGCTGCCATTTGACTTCATGCCCACTTCTTTGTTGCTTTTTACTGTAGACCAGGGGTCTCCAACTCTGGACCTGGAGGGCTACTGTCCTGCCTGTTTTCCGGCTCTCCCAGGAGCAACACACATGATTCAAATAATCGGGATCGTTCGAATGCAGCTTCAGAGCTGGCTGATGAGCTGATCGTCTAAATCAGGTGCGTTGCAGCTGGGAGAGCCGGAAAACAGGAAGGACACTAGCCCTCCAGGCCCGGAGTTGGACATGCCTGCTGTAGACCAACAGCAAGTGTTGTTCAAGCTCCTGTTTTTTGATTCTTAGAATAAATATTAAATTGCTCGCATGCCTTGTCGTTTTACATATTCATAACGACCTGACTTATCCTATTTCCGGGGTCACTGAGTCGAGCATTTCGATAATTAGGAGGGACAGTCGAACTAAAAGGGTACTCAGAAAAGAGCAGACCTCCAGTAAGATTGAACCAAATGATGAACATCATAAGGATTCCAGGCAATCAAGTCGCGGGAACTGTGACAAGCATCAAGATAGCCTCCGATGAAGTGGTCTTAGCTCTCTGTGACTCCTGATTGGACAGCACTTCAAAGCAAAGACTAAAGGACAATGTGACATGAGAATGCAATCAGGGACCGCAAGCAATTTATTGGGTGACTTAATGAAATCGCGCAAACAGCAGCCTCTGCTCCTTTCACTAGATTGCTCCCATAATTCATCAGAGAAAGTGGTTGAAGGAAAGGAAAAATTACAATTTCCTCACGAAATGCGCGTGTGAACGTCGACAGAGTGACGCTGTATCAAAGCAAGCCCAGACAAGCTCGACCATATGTCCTTTTATTTCCCTGGACACCTCCACTTTATAGGGACTCACTAAAAGCACAACTCTGGCCAAGTTTACCATTTATTTAATTTCCCTCTGGATCAATAAAGTGTCGAGGTCTCTCTCTCGCTCTCTCCGTCTCACGCGCTCTCAGTCTGGTTTGTACAATGACTAAGTCCTTTCTTTACACAGTCCGACTATACTGTGATTGCCCACCTTTTTCGTCATTATTCATGGAATCGCTGTGCAACCTGCATGACGTACGATAGCGCAGGAGCACCAGTAATCGGTTTCATTGCCAGTGTGTGTATCGTGTTAACATCCATGTCCCAACCAGATCTGCGTCGACTCAATTTGGCTGAGGAAAAGGTAGGGTAATGCCACTTGGACAAAGTACGTTTTTCAAATATTTAGGTTTGATGGAATACAGTCGTGTATATCACCAATATTTACAAAGAGCTTTCCCCCTTTACATGTAAACTCTCCAATGTTTTGGAAAGTCCACCCTTTTCCCAAATATTTCAAAAAGGATTTTCAGTCACAGTGCATGAAAAAAAAACTGGACATGCGCATGGCCTCGATGGGAATGGAAATAATGAGAAAAACATATTCAGAGTAAATGGAGTCCTTTTTGATTTGTTTGGCTTTTTTTTTCCATGTCCAGCTTGTATAAGTTCAAACATGATTCTTACTCTCGGAATCCCTGAGTAGATATAATGTTTTACCCTCCTAAAATCACACAATGTTAATTGACTTTGACAGGAACAACCATTGACTGAATTCCCCTTTGTTGGAGCATTGCTCTCAATTGTCTGATTGAATTCTTCTGTCTGAGACTCACCGAATCCTCCAGGGAAGGATAAGACTCTTTCAATCATCTGTGGAAATCAAACACAAGACTCCTTCCCAGCAACTTGTCATTGTGTCACTTTGACCAATCAGAGTGAGGTCCTTGAGTGCAAAACCGGGAATGGCATACACAGAATCCCAGTGCGGGAGGAAGAGCAGAAAGAGTACATGGAGAGCACTCTTCAGGCTCGGGGAGACCACTGGTGTCATTCTTTACTTTACTTATCTTAAGGTTTCATAAATGTTTCAGCTTTCTTGGCAGAATGGAGGTGCACTGATTCAGAACAAAGTGTCTCTAATGGTTGACATATTTACAGAAGAAAATTCAATAAAAGCACAGCTTTTGAGAAATTCTAAACACTTAAACTGTGTCAACTAATTCTTCATGGCAGGCCCCAACAGACCATCAAGTCCAGCAATGAAACTCGGGAGTGGTGTCGTCTGCGTAGCTTCAGCCAAGAAATTGAGGAAGAAATGAAAGGAACTGGACTTTTCTTGTGTTGCTGACTTTTCACTTTTTAGCACAAAAGCTTGCTCCAACGTTTGCTCGAAAACTGACAAATCTAGTAGATTTGCTTGGTCGGTCTGCTTGATTCACCCTTACACTTAGGCTTCAGCCAAGAAATTGAGGAAGAAATGAAAGGAAGTGGACTTTTCTTGTGTTGCTGACTTTTCACTTTTGAAGCACCAAAGCTTGCTCCATCCTAAACGTTTGCTCGAAAACGGACAAATCTAGTAGGTTTGCTTGGTCGGTCTGCTTGATTCACCCTTACTCTTAGCTTCTCGCCGATTCCAGCTACACGCCAGACAGATAACCAGGATGATTGGGAACACTGGCCATTA